CCGCTGGAATGCAAGCACGAGCGCCATCTGTCTGTGGAATTATTACGCGCGCTGACTTTTCTACGGTCGTCCTGCTGACTGGACCTCGATAGCATGGGGGGGGGTTGAAGGAGGAAGGAGAGAGGGAGAGGGGGAGGAGAGGGGAAAGGAGAGGGAGAGGGGGGAGGGAAGGAGAGGGAGAGGGAGAGGGGAGGGAGAGGGAGAGGAAGAGGGGAAAGGAGAGGAGAGGGGGGGAGGGGAAGGAGAGGGAGAGGGGAGGGGGGGGAAAGGGAGGGAGGGGAGAGGAGAAGAGACGAAGGAGATAGAGGGAGAGAGTTAGAGAAGAGAGACAGAGACGGAGAGAGAAATACAGAGAGACAGACATACAGACTAACAAACAGACAGAGAATAAAACATAAAACCGACATGCGTATAAATGCTTCTTAACCCCCCAAAAAAAAAAAAAAAAATTTAAACGGAATGATCGAGATACCAAGACGACATTGAAGTTCGGAAAAAAATCCTTAGCGCGCCCGTGTGAAGAGAAGTGCCAGTTGCTGGCCTACGGAGGGCGGCGGGGCGTGAGGGTGGTGAGGGTGGGGAGGGGGGGGGTCATGGCCAGCGAGGTGGGCGGGCGGAGGTGGAGGAGGTCGCGACGGAGAAGACCAGAAAAAAACGTAAAACATTTTTTAAAAATCCAAGATAAGAAAAAAAAGAGGGAAAAAAACCTTACTGTAAACACTTTCCCTAACATGCCCCCCTCCCTACCTCCACCCCTCCAGCCACTCCCCAGGCTGCAAGCAAACAAGCCAGTGAGTCTGCATAGCTAAAGGACTTGATTTGGGTTGCCTGCCTGCCTGTCTTACCCTGCTTTGCCCTGCCTGCCTGCCTGCCTGCTTGCCTGCCTGCCTGTCTTACCCTGCTTTGCCCTGCCTGCCTTCCTGCCTGCTTGCCTGCCTGCCTGCCTTACCACTGCTTTGCCCTGCCTGCCTTCCTGCCTGCTCTTGCCTGCTGTCTGCCTTACCCTTCTTTGCCCTGCCTCCTGCTTTGCCTGCCTGTCTGCCTTCCTTTTGCCTGCCCTGCTTGCTGCCTGTCCTGCCTTACCTTCTTTGCCCTTGCCTGCCTGCTTGCCTGCCTGTCTGCCTACCCTTCTTGCTTGCCTTGCCTTCCTGCCCTTGCCTGCCTGCTTGCCTGCCTGTCTGCCTTACCCTTCTTTGCCTTGCCTGCCTTTCCTGCCTGCTCTGCCTGCCTGCCTGCCTGCTGCTGGCCTGCCTGCCTGCCTGCCTGCTGCTTGCCCGCCCGCCCCACTACCTGCTTCCCCGCTTCTTACAAAATCGCCTTCTTGAATGTCTCCTCGCCTGCTGGACTGACCTGCTTCTCCTACTGCTCTCTTACTTCCTTCCCCATAAAAGGAAACTGAAGAGAAGGAGGAGAAACAGGAAGGAAAAAGGAAGAAGGAGAGAGAAACAGGACGACGGTCAAGGAAGATAATGAGAAGAAATGAAAGGTGGGATGAACGGGAATAAGGGAGAAAGTAAGGTAAATATACAAAGAAAGAAAACTAAGAAACGGCAATAGAAATAATGAAAAGAATAACGAAATGTAAGAAAAAAGAAACCCCACATCTCACTTCTCCCCCACGCAGCAACCCCTATCGTAAACAAACAAACAAACCAAGCGAAGAATAAGTCACGTGGCCTTTCCTTCGTCTCCCCCCCCACCCCTCCCTCCACTCCCCTTTTCACTTAACCCTTTGAGCACTTGTCGCCGTTCATGCTAATTATTCTTGAGTCACTGTTTTTAGCCGTTAATTATGCGTCATTACTCTTCTGGCCGAGACACGACGCCGGTGGGAAGGCCTTGTCGCTGCGTCTGTTTCCATTTGGCTTTCTCTCTCTCTCTCTCTCTCTCTCTCTCCTCTCTCTCTCTCTCTCTCCTCTCTCTCTATTATAATATATATATTTATATATATATATATATATATATATATATATTATATATACGTGTGTGTGTGTGTGTGTGTGTGTGTGTGTGTGTGTGTTGTGTGTGTGTGTTAAGTGTGTGTGTGTGTGTGTGTGTGTGTTGTGTTGTGTGTGTGTGTGTGTGTGTGTGTGTGTGTGTGTGTGTGTGTTGTGTGTGTGTGTGTGTGTGTGTGTGTGTGTGTCTATATATATATATAATACATATATATATATATATATATATATATATTAAGTATATATACGTGTGTGTTGTGTGTGTGGTGTGTGTGTGTGTGTGTGGTGTGTGTGTGTGTATACACACACACATATATACATATATACGCAGGCGATAGACACGCATATAAATGGAGAGCCAGAAACAGGGAAAAAAAAAGCCGCAACCCCCACCCCCCACCCCCACCCTTCCACCCAGTAATCGCGGAAGGCCCCTCCTCTCCCCACCCCCTCCTCCACCCCCCCCCTCTGTTAACGGTGCGCTCCCCTTCCCCAAAGAAGATCCCAAGGAACCCGCGCCGCTGTCTCGCGTCTGCCGGAGATCCTTCTGCAAGACAGCGCTGCGACTCAACCGCTTCTGTGAAGGAATCTCAGGCGCAACTCCCGAGTCAAGATGGCGTCGATTGCGTCCGACTGAGGAAAGCTTTTTTTTTACTTTTTATTTATTCATCTATTTTTTTTATTTTTTTTATTCCGTTTCACCAGATAGGGGAAAGGTGTGAAAGGGAGGGAGGGAGGAGGGAGGGAGGGAGAGTGAGTGAGTGAGTGAGTGAGTGAGTGAGTGAGTGAGTGAGTGAGTGAGTGAGTGAGTGAGTGAGTGAGTGAGTGAGTGAGTGAGTGAGTGAGTGAGTGAGAGAGAGAGAGAGAGAGAGAGAGAGAGAGAGAGAGAGAGAGAGAGAGAGAAGAGAGAGAGAGAGAGAGAGAGAGACAGACAGACAGACAGAAAGCGAGAGACAGCCAACACAGACAGACAGAGACAGACATGACAAAGACAACAGAACAGAGCGACTCCCAACGCCCACGCCACGCACAGACGCCCCGCCCATCCCCGCCCGTGCAACGTCGCCGCCATCCCTCCCTCAGACGCCCACCAGCCAGAACATCTCCCGCCCGCGACCCCCGACAGCGACACCGAGATACGCCCGCGCTCGATCCCGCGCCACGTCGAATTTCGCATGATCGAGCTCGCGGTTTTGTGGGCGGGGCGGGCGGGCTATCGGGCGGCGGGGGGGGGGGGGGGGGGGGGGAGGTAGCTTCTGGCTCTGTGCTTGTTCTTCTTTGCTCCTTTTTGTCATCGTTATTGTCGTCGTGTTGGCTTTCGTTTGTCTATCGTTATTACTTTTTGTTCCTATTTTCTTTATCTTGATCTTTAATGGTACTTTTTATCATTATCTGTTACTATTTTTATGATTATTTTTATTGTTACTGATTCTATCATCACTTTGCAGTTACTATTTCGATTATTTTTGTTACTTTTTTCTCTATCTTTATCTTCAGTGGTACTTTTTATCATTATCTTTACTGTTTTAATTTTCATCTTTATTCTTATTGTTACTGATGCTATCATCATTTTACAGTTACTTTTTTATTATAATTTGTTATTATTTTCATTTTTCAGTATCAACATTATGATTGTTGCGGTTTTCACCATATAATTATCTGTTATCCTTTTCATTATCTTTAACATTCATAGTTTTATTAATAGTACCACTGATATGACCATTACAGCTGTCATTATCATTATCATTATCGTTCTCCTCCTCCTCCTCCTCCTCCTCCTCATCATCATCATCATCATCATCATCATCATCATCATCATCATCATCATCATCATCATCATCACTGTCATCACTATCATCACCATCGCCATCATCATCATATCAACACCATCATTCAAGCCTCTTTTATGCCCATTCTCTCCCCTCTCGCTCTCTATCATTATCATCATCACTATCATCACCATCGCCATCACCATCCCTCTCTTATCAACACCACCATTCAAGCCTCTTTTATGCCCATTCTCTCCCCTCTCGCTCTCTCTCTCTCTCTGTTGCTACGTGGGGGGGGGGGGAGAGGCACAAGCGCTCATTCTCCCCCCCCTCCCTTCCCCCCCCCGCTCCTCGCTCCCTCCGCAATCCCAAAGCCTCAATAAAAGGCGCTTTTGCACTAGCCTCCCTCCTTTCCTTATCTCTGCACCCGATTTTCTGAACCTCAATCTTATCTCGGAATCTCTCATATCCCTCCTCCCTCCCTCCCTCTCCCTCCCCCTCTCTTCCCCCCCTTCGGCATTCATACGACGTACGACTCGTTACGGTTCTCCCCCCTCCCCCCCTACCTACCCCTCCCGCCCCTCCCCCGAAAGGCGTATCACGAGCTTATAATGGCCCGGATTCTGGGAAATCTCACAGCGCGGGAGATAAACCGGGAGAGGTTTTCGGGTCCCTTCCTGGAAACAAGAGCGAGAGTACTTTGGGGAGGTTGTGTACATTTTTCTCTCTTCTTTCTATCCTTTACCTTCTCGCCGAGGGGTACTTTTCACGTTCGAAAAAGGCAAAGGGAGGAGTTTTTTCCTTATCTTTTTCTTTTGAGTTACCGTATTGAATTCTTGCTCTATTTGGTTTTCATTCGTCTCTGCTTTTCAGTATGTTTCTCCACCGATTTTTTTTTTCCATTCATTTTCCTTGGCTTTCAAACGTCTTCCACTTTCCTCTCCCTTCCTTCCCTTCCTTCCTTCTTCTTCCTTTCCTTCTTTCCTTCCTTCCTTCCTTCCTCCTTCCTTCCTTCTCCTCCCTCCCTCTCTCCCTTCCTTCCATCTAGCCGCCCTCTTTCACAACCCTCCATCTCCCTCCCCTTCGTTCCCTCCCTCTTCTTCAAATTCCTCCTTCCCTCTCCCCCAACTCCCTCCTCCACCTCCATCACTTTCTCCCTTCTTCTCCCCTCCTCTCCCTCGTTCCCATTCCCTCTCCCTCTCGACCGTCGCCTCCCTCGGCACCAGCGCCCTTACGAGAGTCCAGATCTGGTTTTAAAGGACTGGTTCGCCGTTAC